AACAACAACAACAACAACACAAAATTTATGATCTAGTCATTATCTTTCATTTAGGCCGAATGGAGATTTTGAAGATAAATTTCCTTTCCTGAATGAACCAATATTGGCCATTTCAAAAAGAAACAGAAGTGAAAAATAAACTTTTAAGGTAATCATGATAAAGGAGAATTTCCCGTTTAAAATTCTCAAGTAAATTCTAAAATCTTTGACTAGCAATTAGCATTAACAAGCTTTAGGCTCATTTGACAGGACCGAGAAGCAGAACATAGGAAGAGGCCATTTTGGTTATAGTGCTGCCTCTGGTGGCAAAGGAAGATGTTTAGATTTCTCACAAGATTTTTTTTCCTCAAGTCACAGGCCTGCGGAAGCCTGGAGTCGTCTATTAATTGTTCTGACAGCAACTCCACCACTGGAAACAGAAACACAATGGGCGGGTGTGGGCTCTCAGTCGATTATTGCCAAGTTCATTTTCTACATTCCTTCCTGCCAAAGTTCACCAATGTGTTCTGGGATATGAGGTTGTGAAATGGTGTCCTGTAGCTCCAGGGGTGAAGGTGGCGGGGGCTGAGACTATGTAATTCACCCTACTAAAAACAATCTTTTCTTCTTGCTTTAAGAAAGGTGTTTGGCCTTCTGGTCGACTCTGTTCCCTGTGCCCCGGCTCAGCTGGGTTACAGACTCCAGCATAAATCAGGGCTGCTCAGGGCCTGGCAGAGGTCCGGACACATTTCCTGTCTTGGCCTAAGGAAAGCTGTAGGTCGCCCGGGACCCCGAGGGGGATTCTTGGCAGTTGGTGGGCTAGAGGAAGCGAGGGCGGGGTGAAGCCGGCTGTAAGGGGCGGTAACGAAGCTCTAGAGACAGCTCCGCGCGCCTTCGGGAGGGTCAGACACCAGTAGGGTGCAGCTGTGGGCAAGGGGGCCTCCGATATGAGGCCGGCATTCGCCCTTTGCCTCCTCTGGCAGGCACTCTGTCCCAGACCCGGCTGCGGTGAGCATCCCACCGCTGACCGTGCCCGCTGCTTGTCCTCGGGGGCCTGCTACAGTCTGCATCACGCTACCATTCAACGTCCGGCGGCCGAGGAGGCCTGCAGCCTGCGCGGCGGGGCGCTCAGCACCTTGCACAGAGGTCCCGAGCTGAGCGCTGTGCTCGCCCTCCTGAGGGCAGGCCCGGGGCCTGGAGGGGGCTCCAAAGACCTTTTATTCTGGGTCGCGCTAGAGCGCAAGAAGTCCCACTGCACCCAGAAAAACCAGCCGCTGCGGGGTTTCTCCTGGCTGTCCCCCGACGGCGGCGGGTCGGAAAGCGAGACGCTGCAGTGGGTTAAGGAGCCCCAACTCTCCTGCACAGCGCGGAGTTGCGCAGGCCTTCAGGCCACCAGGGGAGTCGAGCCCGCAGGCTGGAAGGAGATGCGCTGTCACCAGCGCGCCGACGGCTACTTATGCAAGTACCAGTTCAAAGGCTTGTGCTCCGCGCCGCGCCCTGGGGCTGCCTCCAAGTTGAGCTACCGCGCTCCCTTCCAGCTGTACAGCGCGGCGCTGGACTTCAGTCCGCCGGGGACCGAGGTGAGTGCGCTCTGTCCCGGGCAGCTCTCGGTCTCGGCCAAGTGCGTCACAAACGAGGTCGGTACGCACTGGGACGGGTTACCCTCCAGAGGCGTGCTCTGCCCTTGCCAGGGGAGGTACCTCCGTGCTGGCAAATGCGCTGAGCTCCCTAACTGCCTAGATGACCTGGGAGGCTTTACTTGTGAATGTGCTGAGGGTTTTGAATTGAGTAAGGACGGCCGCTCTTGTGTGACCAATGGGGAAGGACAGACGACCCCTGGGGAGACCAAAGTGGCTACTAGGCGGTCACAAGTCACTACAGCCAGCCCTGTGCCAAGGAGAACAGGGTCACCCACAGGCAACGAGACACCAGGAGAAATACCACTTGGCTCTGAACAAGGCAGTTCAGCTACATCTATTCCGGAGATTATTTGGTGGGGCGCACAGAGTACGTCGTCTACCCTTCAGAAGTCCCATCAAGTCAACTTAAAGGATGCCATCACTCCTTCAGGAAGTGTAATTCCCTGGTTTAACTCCACATCTTCCTCTGCCACTCCCCACATTTTTGACTCCTCCTCCACTGTGGTCTTCCTACTTGTGGGCATAGCGGTTGTGGTGTTGGTGATCTTGACTATGACAATGCTGGGGCTTTTCAAACTCTGCTTTCACAAGAGTCCTCCCTCCAGCCCCAGGAAAGAAGATTTGGCCACAGCAGAAGTGGAGAGGGATGCTGGTGCCTCCACTTAGCGCTCCGATTCTGCACATTGCGCAGACTGTGTGGTGAAGGTTGGGGACTGTGGACTTCGGGACAGGGCAGAAGTGCCCCCCCCCCGGTTTGATCCTCTTTTGGCTCTGGAGGGGTGTAGGGAAACGTGACAGTGGGCTCTTCTTATTAGCAGACCTCCCAGCTTTCAGAAAAAGAGGAATTTCTTTGTGGTACAGACCATTACTTAAAGAAATTCCTGTTCCCCTAAATTTCCCTCTGCTCCACTGAGGAGCTAAAACTTATCTGAACACTTCTTACTGGAAGGCCTGGTCAGGGATTGAAGTGCCTTAGGGAGGTACTGCTGGGGAGGACTGCGGGAGAGGTGTTTCTTGTGTATATTCTGGGGAACATGAAGAAATGATAGAACTTTTCAAGACATTGGAAGCAAATGAAAAGCTAAATACATTTATTTTTATTTATCAAAATGGAAAGAAAACCTTCTGTGGACATTGTTTGGGCTGAGAGGATATTGGTTTGAAATTTCCAGGCAAAAAATAAATGATTGTTGATAATCCAGACTCAAATGTCATTGCCTTCTGTAACCATCTAGGAAGAGCAGCTGAGGGGCATGCTGAAAATAACAAGAGCACATCCTGCTTTTAGATTGAGGGAAAAATCTTTAAGTCCTTGAATAGGGAGCAGATCTTTAGAAACCAGTAACTTTTTTTTCTGGGCTCTTTTATCCTTTGCTTTTAAAGTCACTGTTACTTGTGTGCTCTGCTATAAATCCAAAGTGTTGCTAGAGTTGCTGGCTGCAGAGGAAAATTACAGTTGACCACCACTTCAAGTGTTAACTGTGTGTCCTTGCCCAAGGAAACAAATGATTTGTGTTTTCCCCATTCCAGTGTTTGTGCTCCCCAGTGTAATGACCTCCCCAACCAAATAGCTCTCTCCTAAACATCAGGATGCTGATCCTCCCTTCCAATTATGGTGATGTTAGCTCTCAATTAAAACGTTAATGCTAAGTATTGATTTAAAATCTTCTGGGTGCATTAAAGCAAGAGTAAGATGGGTTTCCTCCAAAATTACTAGACTCCTGTGTACTTTTTAATCCATGGAAAAACTTGCATACTCAACCATTTCCTCTTTCCCTTGATAAAACTGCATGCAGAGACAACAATTTAATCTCATCTTAGAATGATTACAATTTAACAACAGTCTACATGGGCAAAGACATGGATGTAAAGGTGTAAGAAATAAACAATAAATGAAAATATCTACCTTGATATGACTTGGGATATTAGAAGGTAATCTAAAAGAAGAATTCCTCTGAAAAAAAAAAAAAATACTTAAAGCATAATAATAATCACCAAAGAGCAAAGAGCTCTGGTGGCATAGTGGTTAAAGCATTCAGCTGCAACCAAAAGGCAGCAGTTTGAACGTAGTTACTCTGTGCGAAAATGATGAGGCAATCTGCTTCCTTAAAGATTTACAGCTTTGGAAATCCTATGGGGCAGTTCTACATGACATAGCAGTGACTTTGGTTTTTATTTGCATAGGATATATGGTGCTTTCTTTCATTGCTTGAGAAACAGCTTCATTTATAACTGAATTGAATTATAGTGTATCTATATAACTATGTATATAACTGAAATATATATATATATATTTATATATATATTTGCATAAACTGTGGACCCCCTGTATTACTGTTACAATACAATGGAGCATGCATCATTAACTTATGTAACACACTCCATAGGATTTCCTGTAGCTTTTCATCGAGGCTTGGTAGCACAATGGTTAAACTGTCAGCCACTAACTAAAAGGCCAGTGGTTCAAACCCATCAGTCTCTCTGCAGGTGAAAGATATGGCAGTCTACTTCCAGAAAGATTTACAATCTTGGAAATACTATGGGGAGTTTTACTCTGCCCTACAAGAGTTGGAATCAATCAATGACAGTTAGAGATTTGTTCATTTCTAATGATTTTCTCCTTCATTCGATCTCAGCCAGCCCCTCCAACAGCCACACCCTAGTCTTTTAGAGTGTTCTGAAAATGCTTCACATCTGAAATCACAAACTCAGACATTTGTGTGGGTACATGTGTGTGTGTTCTTTGTGTGTGTATGCATGTGTTTTAAGACAGCTGCACTTTATTGATTTTACCACTGAATACAGTTAAACTACTGTTGTTTGAACTTTGAGATTCCTTTCTTTCTTATAGTAATAAACCTTGTTGTGCATAGTAGCTGGCAAGGTGTCTTTATTTTTCTAGTCTTTGTTTTTTCTTTTTTTTTGAAACTTTTAAACTTATGGAAAAATTGGACATACAGTAAAAACTAATTTCTTTTTTCAATCATTTGGAAGTAAACTGCCAGCCAAATGCTTCATCATCCTTAAATACTTTAGTTATTACTTCCTATGAACAAGGACATTCTCCATGCATTTATCAAAATCAGAAAATAGAACACTGCTGTATTGCTGTCTTCTAACCGTTAGACCCCTTCAAAGCTTTCCTTGTTATAGTAATAATGACCTTTATACTAACAGGTCCAGTAAAAATCATGTGTTTATATATTCTTTAATAACAGCTTTGTTAAGATATAACTCATATACCATAATATTTACCCTTTTACAGCATACACATCAGCAAATTTAAACATATTCACAGAGCTGTGTAATAGTCACTACTATCTAATTGTAAATCCACCACTTGTCTGTCAGTTTGATATACAGTAGTAGCTTACACGTTGCTGTGGTCCTGGAAGTTATGCCACTGATATTTCACATACTAGCAGGGTCACTCATGGTGCAAAGTTTTCAGCAGAGCTTCCAGACTAAGACTAGGAAGGAGGACGTGGCCAGGTCCAACTCTGAAAAAAATGGCTACTGGAAACCTTATGAATAGCAGTGAAACCTTGTCTGAGAGAAAGCCAGATGATGAGCTCATCAGGTTGGAAGAGATTCAAGATACAACTGGGGAAGAGCTTCCTCCTCAAAGTAGAGTCAACTTTAATGATGTAGATGGGTTGAATCATTTGAGACCTCCATTTGGTCATGTGGCATGACTCAAAATGGGAAGAATGACTGTAAATATCCATTAATAATTGGAACATGGAATGTACAGAGTATGAATCTAGGAAAATTAGAAGTTGTAAAAAATGGAATGGAATGCATAAAGATCAATATCCTAATCATTAGGAAACTGAAATGGATTGGTATTGGCCATTTTCAATTAGAAAATCATATGGTCTGCTATTCTAGGAATGATGAAGAGGAATGGCATCACATTCATTGTCAAAAATAACATTTCAAAATCTGTCCTGCAGTACAATGCTGTAGTGATAGGACAATATCCATAAACCTACAAGAAGTCCAGTTAATACTACTACTATTCAAATTTACACAAAACACCACTAAAGCCAAAGATAAAAAAGTTGAGGATTTTTACCAACTTCTGCAGCATAAAATTGACCAAACATGCAATCAAGATGTATTGATTATTACTGGTGATTGGAATGCAAAAGTTGGAAACATAGAAGAAACATCAGTAGTTGGAAAATATGGCCTTGGTGATAGAAATAACAGTGGAGATCACAAGACAGAATTTTGCAAATACTTTTTTTCAACAACTCAAATAGCAACTATACATATAGACCTTGGGAGCTCTGGTAGCATAGTGGCTAAGACACTTGCCTGCTAACCAGACAGCTGGCGGTTCAAACCCACAAGCCACTCCTCGGAAGGAAGGTTGGGCAATCTTACTTCCGTAGTGATACTGCCTCGGAAACCCAAGGAGGGGTCGCTATGAGTCAGGGCCGACTTGACGGCACATAACAACAACAGATGGGATACACAGGATTGAAATCAATTTCTTCTATGGAAAGAGGGCATGGAGAAGCTCAGTATCACCAGTCAGAAAAAGACATCAATTGCTCATATGCAAGTTTACCTGGAAGCTGAAGAAAATTAAAACAAACCCATGAGAACCATATACGACTTTGAGTATATACCCCTTGAATTTAGAGACCATCTGAGGAATAGATTGATACATTGAACACCAATGGCTGAAGACCAGATGAGTTGTGGGATGACATCAAGGACATCATACATGAAGAAAGAAAAAGGTCATTGAAAAGATGAGAAAAGAAGAAAAGTCCAAAATGGGTATCAGGAGAGACTGAAACTTGCTCATGAATAAAGAATAACTAAAGTGAATGCAAGAAACAATTAAAAGAGGTGAATGGATTTCAAATGGCAGCTTTAGAAAATAAAATTATTAAAGATAAAAGTATGAATGTACAAAGACCTGGAGTCAGAAAACCAAAAAGGAAGAACATATTTGGAATTTCTCAAACTGAAAGAACTGAAGAAGAATTCAAGCCTTGAGTTGCAATATTGTAGGATTCTATGGGCAAAATATTGAACTATGCAGAAAGCATCAAAAAAAGATGGATGGAATACACAGTCACTGTATGAAGACGAATTGGTCAACATTCAACCACTGCAGGAGGTAGCATATGATCAAGAACCAATGATACTGAAGGGAGACCAAGCTGCATTGAAAGAATTGTTGAAAAATAAAGCTCCAGGAATTGTCAGGATACCCACTGAGATGTTTCAACAAATGGATGCAGCACTGGAGGCACTTAGTTGATAATGACAAGAAATTTGACAAGCAGCTACCTGGCCAACTGACTGGAACAGATGGATATTTGTGCCCATTGCGAAGAAAGGTGATCCAACAAAATGTGGAAATTATTGAATAATATAATTAATATCACATGCAAGTAATTTACTGGAGATAATTCAAAGGCAATTGCAGCAGTAAATCAATAGGGAATTGACAGAAATTTAAGCTAGATTCAAAAGAGAATATCATTTCTCATGTCAGGTGATCTTGGATGAAAGCAAAAACTACTCATATTTTATTGACTATGCAAATTGACTGTTTGGATCATAACAAATTATGGATAACACTGCAAAGAATAGGAATTCCAGAACACTTCACTATGCTCATGAGGAACCTGTACATAGGCCATGAAGTAGTCATTTGAACACAACAAGGTGATACTGCATGGTTTAAAGCAGGAAAAGTGTGTATCAAGGTGGTTTTGTTGTTGTTGTTATCTGCCTACCAGAGCTTCTATCAAGGGGGTATCATTTCA